AATCTGATAGGATTTGTGCCCTTATAAAAATTGGAAGAGACACCAGTACTTTCTCTCTAAGTGCTCAGAGGAAAGACCATGAGGACTGCAGTGAGAGGGTAGTTGTATGCAAGCCAAGAAGAGAGCCCTTGCCAGGGAAAAAAACCCTGCTGGACCTTCATCTGGAACTCTCAACCTGAAGGACTTGAGAAATAAATTCCTGTTTTGTAAGCCACCAAACCCATGGTATTTTGTTATGGCAGCTGGAGCTGACTAATATACCAGGGGAGCATGTTGGAGGGGAAAAGGGACAATGTGACTGAAAGCATATGCAACAGAGTGAGTATAGTGATAGACTTGAAGTCTTATCCAGATAAATAGGAAGGTGAGCATGGTGGTGCGGGAGAATGATGGACAGCAAAAATTAAATGTGGTCATGTATTGGAAGTCCCAGTGCAGAAGAGGCTTTAATTTGAAAGATAGGATAGTAGAGATAGGATGCTTGACGTTGAAATTATGGAGGTAATGTTGTTGTATTAGTCCATTTTTGTTGCTTATAACAAAATACATGGAACTGGATATTTTATAAAGAATAACAAAATTTATTGCTTACAGTTTCTGAGGCTGGGAAGTCCAAAGTCCATCTGGTGGTGGCAACAGTGACCCAGGGGGTCTCACATTGCAAGATGGTGGAAGCAGAGAGAGCAGAGAGAGAGAGAGAGAGACTTTCTTCTCTCTTCTTTTAAAGCCCTCAGAACCACACCCTGACCACCATTTTTAACCCATTCACTACTGCAGCATCCTACAACCCAATCACCTCTTCAAGCCTCTACCTTTCAATTACCATAATAGGATTTCCCACCCTCTTAACAGTCACAGTGGGAGCTAAGTTTCTAATAGACAAAACTTGGGGGGTACAATTCAAGCTTTGGGGAGTTTGGGGAGGACACAATTCAATCCACAGACTCTCCTCTTTTAAAGTCCTCAGAACCATGCCCCTGACCACCATTTGTTATCCATTTACTACTGCAGAGTCCTATGAACCAATCACCTCCTCAAGCTTCCACCTTTCAATTACCATATCAAATACCATAGGATTTCCCACCCTCTTAACAGTCACAGTTTGGGCTAAGTTTATAATATGTAAAACTTAGGGAACACAATTCAAGCTTCAGAGAGTTTTGGGGGGACACAATTCAATCCACTACAGTTGATTGATAATGACAGGGCATAGGAGTATGACTGTTAAAAGAAGGTAAATTTATTGAAGTCAAGGAGTCAGAGAACTGAGAGATCAGAGTATTGAATGGGTTGTTTGTGTGGATATTGGAATCTCTAACAATAATTACTGGAGGAGTGAAAGAAAGAAATTCAAAAGGCAAAATATTCAAGGAATGGATACAGACATAAGTGCATATGTTTGAATACATAAAATTTCAAAGCAAAATCAACAGTAATTGGTCATGAATTAAAATGAGATGGAGGCAGGATAAGGGAGAGAAAGTCATTAAAGACAACTCATTAGTTCCTGACTTGAGCCACTGGATGAATCATGGCACCAATACCAAGTTAGAAAAGTCTGGGAGAAGACCTGCTGTTTGACCTTTGATGTACTGAATTTCCAGTGTCCTTGATATATCCAAGTGAAGATATTGAGTAGGTGGGCTGATATGTTGGTCTGGTGCTAAGAGGACAGTTCACCTGAGGAATAGAAATCTGTGAAGTATCTGATGGTCAGTGTTGTCTGAATACATACAAGTGATAGCATTGCCTAGGAAGTGTGGAGAGAGGAGAGGAGAAGCCTAAGTCTTGGCCTTGAGTAACTTCAATATTTAATGAGCAGGCTTAGTATGAGCCTCCAAGGGAGACTGATTAGGAAGTGGAAAGTGAGATAAGAAAACCAACAGGGTATGAAGAAATCAAGGGGAAAGTCCTGTAAAAAGGAAGATGTATCCAGTAGTGTACAGTAATGAGAGGCCAGTGTGCTGACAGAATAAAAATGTCCTTGGATTCAGTGATGTGGAGGATACTGGTGACCTTTGGAAAAGCTTCTGTAGTGAACTGATGGAGTTGGAAGAGAAGTTAGAGGTTGAGGACTGAGGCGGAAGAGAGAAAAGGGAGAAAGCAGGATGGACCACCTTTTCAAGAATTTTGGCTATCAAAAGAAGAAAAAATGATGTGTGGCAGCTGGAAGGATTGATGGGATTGAGGATGGAGACCTTTTATATAAAAATATATATAATTATAAATTCAAAATGGCAGAAAGTTGGGTCTCCTTAAATCTCAATGAAATGCATATAATTTGGAGGGAAATTTAAATATGAATTTAACATGTTAGTGAGAAATTTTGACAAAATGGTGGTAGAAAAGTAGGAGGGAATCCAACCCAAAGTGGTGAGACAGATTTTAGGAGGATTAACACCTCCTCTAGTGTAGCAGGAAGAAAAGGAGCCCGACTGCCTCAGGACTCAGTCTCAGGCATCTTATTGTGTCCTATCTTCTCTTTTTCTGAATCTGATCCTTTTTTTACAAGAAAGTGTTGTGGGGCTGGGTTCAGTGGGCTTTACACTCTCAAAGCAGTGGTAAGAAACCAGGAGAATGCCAGCTCCACCATCTGCTGAGGCGTGAGAGAGGAAAGAGCCCCCATTTGAGCAGTTTGGGGGGGAGCAGCCTTGCCAGCTCTCAGCTACATAAAAGGGGCCCTCAGAAAAGACATGGAAGAAACCAGGAGAATGCCAGCTCCACCATCTGCTGAGGCGTGAGAGAGGAAAGAGCCCCCATTTGAGCAGATTGGGGGGGAGCAGCCTTGCCAGCTCTCAGCTACATAAAAGGGGCCCTCAGAAAAGACATGGAAAATGTAGAGGGCACAGTGGAGGGTTTGGGTGGATCATGATGATGAGAAAAGGTTTGTTGATATTGGCAAGAAGAAGATAATTTCCAACCTAAGATCAAGCACTTTCAGAAGCAGTGGAGCTTACTGCAGAAGATAATAAAGTGAAAATCAGACCCTTTGTTCAAAGAATTTGCCTATAGAAAAGAGGAAGATGGAATTCAATTCTACTTATTCTCCCTCGCCCCGTATAATCCAGCTAATTACCTATGAGATTTTAGTTCCATTTTGTTCTTTAACATGAACTTTAGAAGATAGACTTCCTGTACATGATACTTTCTAAAATGCTTTCTTCTCTGAGTTCATGCTTTTCCCTTGCCCAGAATGCCCTTTAAATCCTTTTTCTACCAATGTAAACACAACTCTTCTGGTAAGACCCATTAACATTTACCTCTCAAATTTCTCTGTGTTTTATAATATTTTTGTTATTGTGAAAAAATTCATGTTTGTTGTAAAACCATTTGGAAAATATAATGAAATTATAAATTAAAAATAAAATAACTCATATCATACCTTCCCTCAGATGTATCATACTGTGTATATTATTAATGCTAACTCTTTAAAAATTAATACTATAAAGTCTTTTTTGTCTCACTAAATATTTATAACAATCCTTTAATGACTGTTTAATATTCCATACTATAAATATAATGTAATTTATTAACCATTCTACACATATTAGCTAATTTAGATAGTTCCCATTTTTCCTATTGTAAATAAAACATTGTCTTTTATGTAAAAGCTTGTGTACATAATTAATAACACCCTTAGGGAAAAAATCCTTTAAGTCAATTACTAATTCAAAGGGTATCAATGCTTTTTAAAGACACTGGATACATACAGGTGGATTATTTTCCAGAAAGACTAAATTATCCTTCAATAAGCAGCATATGAGTGTGTAAGGTACCACTTCATTGTCAGCATAAAGTATTTTTAAACATTCTAATTTTGTGAGTGGAAAATGGCTTCTTGTTGAGGTTTTCATCTGTGTTTATTTTATTACTAATTAAGTTGAATTTTTTTTCTTATAGATATTGGTCACTGGTTGTTTTCTGCTTCATATTGTCTTATGCCCTTTACCCATAAAATATACTATTTTAACTGAATTATAAAAGATTTTCAGTATTGTTAATCTAATTGCAAAAGTTCATTACATGTTAATTATATTGCCTTGTATTATATTTGTTATTTTCATTCTAACTGTTGTTTATTAAAATTATTTCAAAAGTTTTAGGTTTGTGTATTAAGGAAACATTCTCTTTTGAGCATGTTACTTGAATCATAGTTAAGTGAAAGGTGGTGTGAACCATTTGATAACTGATTATTTTTCATGACAAACAACCCAACTTTTCTGAACATGCGGGATTTGCAAGGATTTATAGTTCCTTGCCTCCATGCTGGAGTTACTTCAGCTTTGTGTGATGCATTCCAACTAATCTGGAGGTTAAAGCATTCCTTGATCGTGGATAGATCCGATTGCTACTCAGCCCTGGAATTCTTTATAAAATTCCAGAACGTGGGCTAGAAATTGACTTAGGGAATCCAATAAAGTTGCAAATCTTGGCAGTCATCCAAGCTAAATTTATAGACTGGAAGAAATATGGGCTTTCCATTGTTCTATTTTTCACCTTTCTGGGGTTTCTTTTGTGTCTATGTGAGTGTGTGAATGTAAATTTATCATTTTGCTGACATAGGAGTGGAAATAACCATTGAGGGGATCCAGCTAAAGAATTTTTACTTTGGATCTTCCTTGGTCTTTCCAAACTTTGACCCAAACCTGCACCGAGTGAATTTCTTCTCCCTCCTTATTTTATGTTGATGTCATAAAATAAATTGTCGATCCTGAAAATGAATCATGTTAGTATAACAGCTGACGTGCATTTTTGCCAGCTAGGTACAACTCCCAAATTTCTGTTCCTCCCATGGTTCTGTGAGAGCCTTCTTTGTGAGACATGATCTGAGAAAATGTGATTATATATATTGTTTTTGTTCATTCTATACAAAAACAAGCTTGAAAGTGTCAAAGTGACTTTAGTCCTTTTTGTGTGTGTGCTCCTGCTGCTCTATAGTGCAGAGAGATCCAAGCAATCCCCCCATATCTGACCACTGAAAACCTTTCTTGTACTTGCAGAATGGGTTCGCTGTTGTGAGGCCCCCAGGCCATCACGCTGAAGAATCCACAGCCATGTAAGTACCAGGGACTGTTGCCCATCTCCAAGCGCCACGGCTCCTGGCGGTCACCTGCTCCATGCATGTTTCTGAAGCCTCTAATTGTTAACAGATGGACTGAAAAATCTTGCGAGGTACTCCCAGAAGCAGATTTATGGCTTCAGAGATCATATAGCATTTTAAAAAATGCTCTGAACATTATTTATAATGGTTTTCCTGGATGATTTGCTTTCTTATTTCTCTGTTCTTCTCTATTCCGCAGGGGGTTCTGCTTTTTTAATTCAGTTGCAATTACCGCCAAATACTTGAGAGACCAACTAAATATAAGCAAGATATTGATTGTAGATCTGGTATGTATTCCTGGCCAGAGCTGCATTTTCAGTGACTCTAGATAAAAGGGAGTGGATTTGTATTTCTCTATTAGGTTGTCTTGCTTTTAGCACTTGCAAACAACTGAAGGGTGTGTTTCCTTTGAATGTGGAAACTCATTAAATTCGGGATTGCAGTTCTGAAACCATAAACATTCACGTTTCACTTTCATGGTGTTAACTGCAATTTAATGAGAAGAAGGAGCAGATCAGGGCAACATTTATGATCCTTAAATGAATTGATACTTCCACAGTTAAAATAACCCAACAGAACCTGAATTTACTTTTCCCTACAGAATATAGACTTTAAATAGTCAGATGTGCTGGAAAGAATGTTGTTGCTTTGGTAACCAATTGGCCACTTCCCTTGGTTAGCAATCATGTTGCCTGTTGTGCAACAGTGGTATTATTAAAACAAGTCAGCATGTCATTCTTACTGAGAAGATCTCAGATCTCAGATGCCAGTTTGGGATGACTCTCTGCGGGAACCCTGAGTGATTAAAAGTCATAGGCATGAGATTAGTCTTGCATTTTAAGATGATGCATTCTTACACAATAGAGTTATAATTTGTTTAACAAATGGTTTGTTTAAATGCAGATGACACTTGGCATGTTGTCTATAGTATATTCATGAATAATGAGCTGGAGTTCTGCCCCATACAAAAAGGACCAACCCAGGAAAGGGTGAAAGAAAGCTGCATGGTGATTTATGAGCCCCTTTTTCGGTTTGCCTCCAGTTCACGAGGAGGTGTAATAGGTTGTCTGACAAAGCATAGACAGGAAATGAACCCTGGCATCCAAACCGAACCTGCTACATCTGCACTTAATTAATTTTTGCAGGTGATAAAAGATTTAAAGGCAAAATATGTTAAAGGTTTTTTTGAAGTGCAAGGCTTAATAGTCTAAATCTTGTTCATATCTGCACTCATAATTAAATCTTATTGGAAGTCGTGGCCTCACCCTCCAGCCCTTCCATTCGGTTAAGTAGACACACCAAAGGGTTGAGAGAGCACAAACAAAGCCATGTGAAGAAATACTTAGTTAAGTTAAAATGAAGATAAAAGGAATGGAAGACCGATAACCACTTCTAGTGCTTGGTTGGAATGCATGTTTTTTCCGCACACTGTTCTGTGTAGCCTTCCTGCCAGCACTTTGGTGTGAGGACTATTGAAACCCAACTTCCCATATAGTTTCCAAACATGCTTAAATTTCACCGTAGGTCATAGTTCATCGTTAAAGAGATGTGTTGAAGGCCTAGATATACTACAACAGCAAAGTCTTAAAATTTTGCAAAAGTGAGGACATTGGTACCTATTTTAAGTCTCAAAATTTTGCAAAGCTTTAAAATTTTGCTAAAATGAGGGCATCAGTACCTATTATTAAGAAATTAATAATTGCCTTTTTGCATGATTTATAAGATATTAAAATTTAAAAATTCCTTAGTATGCTCCTAGTTCTGTAAGGTCTATGCTAGAAAGATAAGCCAAAAACTTGAAGAAAGGATAGCAGATGCATACCAAACATTGTGAGAAAAAATTTTCCAAGCTTCCTAAATTTTTGAAAATTATATGGAAAGGCAATTGGTCAGCTGTTTGTCCTATCCCTAACAATCTTGCAGCATTTATTTTCTGAGGAATCTCCTCTACTACCATTTTATGGTTCATTTTATGAAGATAATCAATAACTGTTAAGAATCCCCTTCGAGGGCTGGCCCTGCGGCTCACTCGGGAGAGTGTGGCGCTGGTAGCGCAGAGACCACGGGTTCGGATCCTATATAGGGATGGCTGGTGCTCTCACTGGCTGAGCGTGGTGCATACAACACCGTGCCAAGGGTTGCGATCCCCTTCCCGGTCAAAAAAAAAAAAAAAAAAAGAATCCCCTTTGAAAGCACATTTGCGATATCCAATCTTAAAACTAATAAATTGTACAATAAAAGACTTGCAAACTAAAATGTCTTGCTTGTGATACATGTACATTTTCTACTTCAGAGCATTTATATGTAAAGTTTTGTTTTTGTACATTAATATAGGAATAGAAGACCGCTGGAGATAAGTTGATACAATTTATAAAATAAGTTACTTGGTAGCTCCAAGACATTTCCTGTAAGCTTACTGGCCTTTGATTATGAATTTGCTTCTTTATCCAATCTTAAAGGATACTGATTTCCCAATAGGCTACTGTAGATGAGACGTTTTTGTTTCAAATTCTCTAAATATATGAAGTTCTGTCCAAAGGGTTGCCTCTGAGATCACCACCAGCCCACATAGTCTTACTTTCAAGTGTTCCAAATTCTGCAGCTGCAGGGCTACTTTGAGGAAATTCCTGTTTCTTCCAGCTGCTGAAAAGGAAGTTTTAAAGTGCCACGTGGTGCTGAGACATCCGTTCTCCCTGGCTGACAGGTCTCTTCTGGAAGTTAGCAAAAAAGAAGAGGTGAAAGTTCTTCAATAACAAAAGTATTTCATTCCTGCATATCTAAAGTCATTAATGTTAGCTGGTGGGTGTGAACTACCTCCACAAAATCTAGGGCCAACAAAAGGCAAAGCCACTCCATTGTGCAGCAGCTAGTGTCAGCATTTTTATGTACCTAGTTAATACAGAGCCCAGTTCTAATTCATCTAATATTTTAGGTCACAGCCAAATTCAGAGGTGTTGAGTATTTTAGGCAGAAATGATTCTAGTTGATCTGTAGAGCCCATTCATTCCTTTCTTCTTCTTGGGGAAGATTCCAAACACATTCAGATTGACATGCAGAGGAAGCTGGTATACTTGCTTCGTTGTTGTGTTTAGGGCATTAACCTGTCCTAGAAGTAGGATTTGCCTGCATGACTCAGGTGACTGTTAGGTAATGTGACTTTTAGTTAGAAAATAACACTTTTTAGACTTTTTTTGTAAAAGAAAAATTATTTCAAATGGTCTTAGATTTGGGGAAATTTCATTGTTGATCAAGTACATTTAGATCTCTGTCACAAGTCTCTATACTAAGTAATTATGAATGATAACATCAGCTGGTAGAATATATGATTCATTCAAAGCTGTTTTAACATAATAATGAAAATATATTGGTTCTAAATCCTTGTAAAGAATCAGTTTTCACAGTATATTTTTTAACCAGTAAAATATTGAAATGACTTTTCAGTATTTCCCAGAATATGTTAGATACAGGGACTATTTTGAGGTTCTTAATGATTTAGTTCATTTCTATAATAATTTCTCATAATCACTGATAATTTTCTTATTTTAGTCCAGTACATGTATTTGTTGCTACAGAGGAATCAGCCTCAGGTCATACCTGAGCAGTCAGTACTCTGTATGAATATTTTGCAAAAAATAAACAAAGAAAAAACAACAAAAAAGATATTCTTAAGGCTATACTGTAAATTGTTGCCCCAAACAAAAAACAAACTTGGATTTAACCTTTATCTGGAAATATTTAGTGAATATGAATATAGAATCAAGAATTTCCCAAGTGTTAGAATGAATTTGTATATTTTAGTGAATAATGCTTGTTGAAAAGCTGATTAGACTGTAGGAAAAGACTATATTTCTTATCCAGAATTTTATGCACTAATAAGCACCAAACACATTTTTCAAGAACAAATGATTTTATATCTGAGACAAATTATCATCTTTTATTTGACCTTCTTAAATAAACCTTTACAGTGTCCCTAGAGAAAGAAAAGTCATCGAGGCAATATTTTTCTGCTTTTCAAATTGTGATTGCATTTATGCCCAGAGCCAAATCTGTCTTACAACCCTGAATAAAATTGCTGTTGTATAAGGGAAATGCAAGCAACCCTTGACTGCTGTTTTTCAAAGTATTTTGTTTGTCCATCCTCTAAATATCCAGTAGAAAACACAAAAGACATTATGGCTTAAATCATTTCATTTTTGATCGCATAAAAGAAAACAGTTTTGCTATCTCCTTCTTCCTTTCCTCTGATATTCCTAAATATTCATAAATATAATATTCAATTCAGGAATTAATATATTTTCAGTAAGTTATTTTTTTTTTCCTAATGTGTATGTCTTTAGTTGGAACAAGTTTCTGGTATGATGCATATCTACCCCTACAGTATGATTCCTTAATTAATTTTGGATAAGTGTACTCTATAGAAGGGGAAGAGGTGTCTATACCGTGGGTATGGTGAGCTCGGTGCAGGTTTTCAGAACTCAACAAAAGGAGGCTTTGGTAGTCTCTAGTTCAGGAGTTCTGGGCTGGAGGTTGGAGTGGAGAAGAGTTACATAAACCTCAATAAAGAGCAATAATGACTGACAATATCACCTCACAGGTTTGCTAAGAGGATCAAAAAGATAATGAATGTAAGTTTAAGATGACAGTATAATGGTTAAAAGTTAGGCCTTTGGAGTAAGAAGTAGATTCAAGTTCTAGTCTTGCAGCTTACTCTCTATGCAGTCTTAGTAAATTACGGAAACTCTCTGAATCTCAGTTAACTTATCTTTTAAATTAGAGATAATACCAGATTCTCCATATACTTATTAAATTATTCATGCAAGTATTTAATATAGTGCCTCACTTAAAAATTCTAGGAACTGCTGTTGAAAATAGTGTGATTCTTACCAGCATAAAATAAAGTATAAGTATATAGTTACAAGTTACCAAAACTTTTTTTTTATAACAGAACCAGGAAATATATATAAGATAAAGACATAGCAATAATATTCTGTTCGATACAAATATATAGATTATTAACTTTTTAGAGTGGCTCATTTTATTTTTGTTCAGATGATATTAGGAAGCATATTAATTTAGGTCATAACATCTGAGGTTTTTCGTGAAGACATTTTTAGAAAATGTTATCAGTTTTATTTTTCCCACTTCTTATATCCACTCTGGTATATGTCCACACCATAAAATAATAAGAAAAAAGAACTGTCAGGTTTTGAATATTATCATATACAAATAGTCTAAGAATTTTTTATTCATTTAATGACATAGGCTTTTTTTTTTTTTTCTTTTCTTTTTTTGAGAGGGAGAGGGAATAGAAAAAAAGAGCAGGAAGGAAGTTGGGAAGATAACCATGATATAATATCAAAATTAGGCAGATTGGACAAAATTTCATAAAGCCTCATGCCATCTTTCTGCTTTGGCCCAAATGATTTAAAAGTTAATGAGCATGCTCCTGTGTCTTCAACTCTTGCCGTTACGATTTTACCAAAATAAAGTATGAAGTCCCTTTTGCATCTGGCATCTCTTTTGAAGTGATTCTAACTGCTGAGGGATTGCTAACTGAACTGAATGCTTTAAGAAAGCCAATTTACTCAGCTGGTTGCAGAGCCTTTGACCTTAATGCTGAGACTTGGCAAATCAATACATACAGGTATGTTTAGTGTTCTGTCAAGAATTGTGAAAATGCCCTGTAAGCCATAGATCCTTCTGCAAAATACTAGTTTGTAGTTTAAACATTAGTCTTTTTTCAGAGGCCAATGAGGCTAGTTAATTAAGCCTGAGGGGTTATGAACTGTTGGCAGTTAATAAGTCATAAAATTCCTCCATAAAACAGGATGCGAGATTCCATCACTGAAGCAAAGAGTACAAAGGGCCGGTGTATAAATATCTAATTGTACCAAAGGACTGGGCTTTCTCAATGACTGCTCATCTGGAGTCTCCAGGGCATGCTCGCTGTGGTTTCCTGATTTTTAGAAGCCAGTTTAAAAAATGAGTGCATTAAAGGGTAATTTGCCTGAAAGTTCAGGAAGTAAAGGGGGTGGTGTGGAAGCAGGCTGAATGGGAGAAAGAAAAAGAGAAGACAGAAAATGAGGAGGGTGGGGTAGAAAAACCAGCAACTAGAAATCAGCAAGGTTGTCTCCACACAGAGTTAGACATGACTGTATTTGTCGTCTGTTTTCTTTTCCCTGTAGGATGTGCACCATGGAAACGGTACACAGCAGGCCTTTTATGCTGACCCCAGCATCCTGTACATTTCACTCCATCGCTATGATGAAGGGAACTTTTTCCCTGGCAGTGGAGCCCCAAATGAGGTTCGGTTTATTTCTTTAGAGCCCCACTTTTATTTGTATCTTTCTGGTAATTGCACTGCATGATTACCCCTAATTTTCTTGTCCTTTGCTGGTGTTTTAAATTACATGAGATTACTGAATTGTCCCAAGGGTCCAAGAACCAGTGCAGAACAAGTGCATAACCCAGAGCACTGGTTGTTAAGCAAGGTTGGACTGATTTGACGTGTTGTTTGATGTTTATTTCAAGAGCTCCCACGGGTTTGTTTTCCTCTCTTCCTGCTTTCTTCTCTTTTCCCCCTTCTCTACCCATGGTGGTGTGTTTTTCTCTTCCCAGGTCGGAACAGGCCTGGGAGAAGGATACAATATAAATATTGCCTGGACAGGTGGCCTTGATCCCCCCATGGGCGATGTTGAGTACCTGGAAGCATTCAGGTTGGTACTTCTTTCTCTCCAACATGGCAAATTAGAAAACAAATGTCCATCGAAACACCACCAAATGTCCAAGAGAAATGTAACTTTCTAACTAAGGTAAATTATTGCTACAAAGCCATGTAGGAACACGTGTAAGAAAAAAAGGAATATCAAGACCTAGTTGTAGTTAATACAGATGTATTGGCCAAGGACCCAGACATGTTCTCCCTCCTTCAAAAAAAAAAAAAAGGGAAAGAAAGATTTTATTATTAAATAGTTCTGTCTGGTAAAGTCTGCCTATTATAACATATGACGTGATTTACAATAGACATTAGCGTGTTAAATGCTATGAGAAGTCCTTCACTACCTATTTTGTTGAACACACATTTCACAAACAGCATTGGACCACAGAATGTCTTTTTGTACACAGCACTATTTAGCATCCCTACTTCTGAGAAGCAAGCTTACTTTAACAACATTGGCCTGTGCTATCTCATTTGATGGTAGAGTAAATGACTTTTGTATGTTTTCCCTCTCACATTAAGACATCAACTAATTAATTGATTGTTTTCAGTTTCTCTACAAAATGTAGGAGTAAATGAAATGTCTCCACAGTGCATTCTGCTCTTTTTGCCCTAAGCAAAGAACTTTAAAAATTAATTTAAACAAGAAACAACAAATTAAAGGCTTTTTTTTTTTTGAGATAAAGTTTTAAAAAGGGTATTTCTTCTTTGGAATTAAAAAAAAAACAACCGATCTTTGAAAAGGTCTCTGTTTTCAAAAGAAATATCAGATTGTGTCAATATGTACCTCACTTGCAGGATTTTAGGAAGAGATTTTAGCCATTGGTAATGCGTAATTTCTTAGATGTTTTATTTAGTTGCAAGCAAAACCAAACTCCTGCATGGCAAGAAATTTTAGAGGTAATTACACTTTTGAAATTTACCGTTTACAAATCCCCAAGAAGAAAACATTGATAACATATTTGAAACTTAGGGAAATAGTGGAGAAATTTTTCAATAAATAAAATTTTGGTGGGATTCTACTGTTTCATGTGTCATTCAGACTTCATTTTCTCATTTGCAGGCCATTTCTCATTAGAAAGCAGGTTCAGGAAAAATAATAGGAAAACAGCTAGTTAAAGAAATAAATTTAAAATAAATATATTCAGCATGGTATTTGAGATACAAAGAAAAATTCTACCCACATTCCAGATGTGTACTTTGGGGGAAAAATACATGGAGATATCTACAGTATTTATAGGAAAAGTAGCTAAAATAAATTTATTTACTGTAAACTTGGGTTGTCTATGAAGATATTTTACTTAATTATCAGTAAAAATTTAAAAACACTTATTAAGAAACTATAGGGGTTTCGACATTATGAATTCTCTTTGCCTATGTTTGCAACTTCACAGACATTATTAATATAGGAACTCTAATGGGATAATATACTTCAATATTATATCACATATGAATTTACTACCTGGTAACTTGTGTGCTATACATTCAGTTCTCAACCTTACTTCAGCATATTATCTTATCCATTGATCTGTAATGCAGAATTCTTAGGTTTTTAAAATTATTGTAAGTATTATTTCTGGTACTATAGCTTTACACAAAAATGAATCATATATGCAGAGCAGTGAAGGACAATTTGTATTTTGTGCCTGTTTGCTCTCCCCTTACAAGGTGAATGGTAGATGAGATTATTTTTTTAAAAAAAGAGCCCCTTTAAACACAACCATTTTTATTGAATAATGTGAAAATAGATATTAAGTGCATAATATTGTTCTGTGATTGAAATCATAAGTGGATGAAGAGCTCCTGAAAGTGGCTGACTATCCTCAAGAATGGCACCTTCTCTTTGCCTGGAATATGGATACTTTATATTAGGAAACTTTTCTAAACTTCTCAGTGCAGTCATCATTATTTGAATTTATTTAGAGAAGTGGCAATATTTAGCTAGACTGCCAAAATTTCAAATTGTGGCTTTTAATGTTCATAGTTATTTAAGAAGCAAATTTGAACGATAATTATCCTGTTAATTTTGAACTATATGATGTCTGTTACTCAACTTTTATGCCTAGAAGTATGTGTGAATTTGTTATGGATGAGTCAAGAAAGTAAATCATTCATTCAAAAAACATTCATTGAACACATTATATGCCAGGCACTGCAATGAGCACTTGGAATTTAGAGCTTTCTTTGCTCTCAGCGATCATAATAAAATGGATACTTATTGTTCTAGAGAACAGAAATGCTTAGATGAAGCAGATAAGTTGATTAATTCTTCCTGAAAGATTTCAAAAAAGGCTTCGTCAAGTATTGTTCAGCTTCTGCTATTAAGGATGAGTGGGAATTTTATTTTATTTTTATTTTTTTCCCCAACATTCATGTACTGTGTTCTCAGAATTTTTCTTTTTTTAAAAAATTATTTATTTATTTATTTTAATTTTATTTTGTTGATATACAATGTGGTTGATTACTGTGACCCATTACCGAAACCTCCCTCCCTCCTCCCTCTCCTCCCTCCCACCCAACAATGTCCTTTCTGTTTGCTTGTCGTATCAACTTCAAGGAACTGTAGTTGTTATGTCTTCTTCCCCCGCCGGTTGTGTGTGTGTGTGTGTGTGTGTGTGTGTGTGTGTGTGTTTATTTATTTATTTTAGCGGTAGGGGGGAATTCATACCGGGCAGAGTATGAAAAACATGGGGTCATGAAATGATCTTTCTCTGTTGGCTCAAGGGTGTGAGGGTGGGATTGGTTGGAAAAACTGAATCCTACTTCATAAAATACTTTGTACCCAAAAAATAGGTTATCTATCTATCTATCTATCTATCTATCTATCTATCATCTATCTATCTATCTATCTATCTTCCTTTGTAAATTTTGGCTTTAGTCATATAGACTTCCAAATAATTTTTGAGGTGGTATTATTTTATAAGCTTATCCTTCTTAAACAATACTTGTTTCCCAACATTAAAACACAAGATCTTTTTGACATCTGTGTGTGTGTGCAAGAATTGGAAATGGGGGGAAAGTAAAGGTGCCTTTTCTTTTCTCTTAGTTTAAATTGTTTCTGGACTGTGATAAATATCTTTGGAGGGAAAGCCTCTCTCTGTGAAGCTACATTTATAGAGGAATATAAGATGGGTGCTTATTTGCCAGCCAAAATTTGTCATACATACTGCTCTTGTGCTTTCTATTGTGTGCTTTTTCAATGGCAAAAAGAAAATGTAGACAAATCAAGCATTTTCATGTTTGCTACAAGCTTTAAAGATAATTTTAAAAATATAATAGAATATTTTAAATTATTTCAGATGACTACTTATCTTTTCCAAGCAGTTATTGTTCATCCCTAAAATAGTTGAAGGATGTTCTTAAGCTTTTTCATGAGAGGTTTAAAAATGTTCGCTAATATTAAATATCATTTATGTTCAACTAAGATATGTTTCCAAGGTTACCATTTTATAAAATAATTATGACTATTTTTATTGAGGTGTTACATGCCAGACCCTAGACTAGAAACTTTATAGGCATTATAGCTGTTCTTAAGTGCTTTGGATAAGTCGAAGATCTACTAATTGGAAGGTCCATGATGTGAACCCTGTTTATGGCTCTAAAATCTATGCCCTGTTATGCCACATTGTTACTCTCTTCTATTGCTTATGACTTAAAATGCTCAAGAGTGATAAAGCACAACAGACTTTTACAAAAATGTAACGCCTTCATGTCCCCCACTGCCTTTTGACCTAACTCACAAATGCCTAGTGCTGCTCAGCAGGGCAAACAAGCCATTCATTAATATCACTTAAACGAGTCAATAAATGAATCAGTAAGTCAAAGAGACAGAGAATGATGCTGACTACAGTAGGAGTATTGGAAAGCTCTGGAATTAAGTGAAAGTAGCAAAAGTCTGAGGGAACTACGTGTTCTGTCTTTGCCTCTCAAGAAGTATGCTTTACAAAGAACTCTGAACACCCATTCATTTGATTATAAGAATGTCAGACACCTTTTCTTTATTCAACAAATGTTTTGCTGAATGTCTGCTAAACATTCTCTGTTCCAGTCATTTCAAAAGATTGTTCCAGTGGTGCAATTTTCTCCCTAGTTCCTCAGTGAGAACTGAACGCAATATTTTTTCTAAAGACTAATTCTTTAAGAGTCCTGCAAATGTTAAAGTGATTATTTGTAAAAGGTCATTTAAATGGTTTGCTTATAGTGGGCAAGATAAAATACGCACCTCATGCTTCCAGTTAAATTTAATGAGGAAAACATCTCCAACTTTCCAAAAAAATAAGTACCAATTTTCTATGTAGGAGGAAGTTATTAGTAGTCCTTGAAAGTATGCTTATTTTGTTGAATAAATAAGGGAATGAAAGACTGAATGAATGAAAATCTCTGTTAAACCTTTTAATTTCATAAAAGAAGTACAAGCCCATTGAATTGAGAGGGTTTTGATGAAATAACATAATTAACCTTTTGGCATACACTGAGGGCTAGCTAAGAAAGTGGTGTAGAGCTGTTGATCTGGGTGCCTTAGATGCAAACAAGTTCTGATTTTAAAAATTATCTATCCACACAAGTATGTTATAGTCTGCAGCTACCTTAATTAATATTTGTTATTGATGAGGGTTTCCAAAAGACAAAGGGTCTGTAAATATCAGCTCTTCAGGGAAGTTCATCTCAGGGGAAAACTCTGATCCAGAATGATTCTATTTACTGGTGTTATTGGTGTGCCAAGTACAAGAGGGGATTTGCGAAAATTGTCTACTGTAGGAAATAAATATTTAGCCAACTTTTATGTTGCTGTTGTAAACTACCTGTTTTTTCTTTAGTTGAATTATGAAGTATCTCTATTTAATCAAAATATTATGTGTTTGTAAATGTAAGCTTTGCTAAAATATTTTGGCCATATAACTGGAATGTTTAGAAGCTTAGTATTTTGGGGACATAGTCAAAGAAGTTGAATCACTTGAGTACATACAAACAGCCCAAACAGCCTGTGTCTCTTTCTCCTATCTTTGGTTCATATTTGTTTGCTTTAATAACATATGCACGCTTAACATCCATTAACACAACACAATAACTGGAAACTTGACCAGATATC